GATAAAGCTTTCAACCTATCAGCTTTTGGTATGGTGAGTTGGCTTCTCTATATGCGCAATTGACCAATGGTACACCAATACATTCATAAAGAACTTCATCTTGTTTATTTGCTAGCAATATATCCCTTGCCCGATCTTCTACTGCCAGGTGACACAAAGCTGGTAATAACATTCGGAGAACATCTGCATCAGATTCAGTTTGATTTTTATCCTGACTAAGCCTGTGCGTTCTTGCAGCATAAAATGTGTCATTAGCTAATTGAAGCATATATGGTAACAAAGCGTACACAGCCCGTTCTCATGGCCGAAGTTTCTGTGGCTAGCCAAACAGCTAAAACACGCACCATGGCACAAACAAAGGATTTTTCTTTTGGAGGTAACTTATCTTTGTTCTTATCATTTGATACTTTAGTTAAAACTGATATTACAGCTGAAAAGGCACCTTTCAATGCTGTGTATATTGTTTGCTTTTCCTTTTGTTCCAAATCTAAAGTATCATTGGCCATATAAGCTACAGAAAGTTCTAAGATTATAAAACATGCTGAAATTAAATCACCATTTGCCAAAGCTTGCTTTAAACTTTTGTCATCCATCTGCATACGAACTTCAATTGCACTGAGTTGTAGGAGAAGCAAAAGAATTGCTTGGGATTTTCTTCTTCATTTCTCATGTCCATTCCACACCTAAAACATCAATTACAGCAGATGCAAGTTTCAATGCTGGGTCTCGTTGGTTTTTACCAATGCGGCTGCCCAATATATCACTTAAACCTTTAAACAAGCTGCCAGGCCAAACTTCAGTGTCAGCCGTTCGACCAACAATGCTACGTCTACAATTAAATAATAGAGCTCCAAGTATGGAACACAAAGTAAATTTTCTCTCTGTGTGATCAGTTTCAAAATCCAAGCAAATACGATTTAATAAAGCATGAAAATTTTTAGGATCTAAATCCCAAGCTGAAGGTCCAAATTTACTGACCAATGTAACTATTAAATTCAGGGCTTCATCAGTCTGAAAACTTTGTTGTGCATATATTTGAGACATCTTACCAATAGCGCCTCCTTCAAGCAATGCTTTCTGCCCAGGTTCATATGAAGCTATGCTCTGAAGACAACTATAAGCTTCGCTAACAACAATCAGATTATCATCGTAATCATCATCATCAGCTGTTTGAACAATATCCAAGAAAACTGGAATGTTTTTCCAACATTTCTTTATGTGTAGCGAGTTCTTCATCTTGACAAAAACATGTAAGTATTGATAAAGCAACACTCTTATATACAAGTGGGGGACAATCTTCGGGAACATCAGCACTTAGTAATAACTTCTTCAAAAACTTGAATCCAATGGCTTCGAAGAGAGCCTTCTTAGCAACTGTTGTACAATCTTTACCCTTCACTAACTTTGTCACCATAAATAACGCGGCAAATTTTTCCGTGTCGGTTTTTGCACTTTGTAAAATAAGGATACATTTTTTAACAGGTTCAGATATTGAATCAGCCATGGTTAATGAACACTTAAAACATTAATCCAGCCAGCGTAGCGGTATGTAACTAAATGCGTTTAAGAGATGAAAGTTAGGTTATTTATAACTTACGATAGAGAGCGATCCGGCCTATATTGGGAAATGTACGCGTCACTAAAACTTCGACTTTCCAGCATAAACTATATTACATCTGTGCACAAACACTACGAAATATCAATGTTTTCATGTTTATTTTAAAACTTGGCACCAAAATAGAACGTGTTGAAGCCATTTTAAGAGGAACTGTCAAAACACCCTGCGACATCTTTGAGCAATCGCTAAACTCGAAGCGGCATCTAGCAATATTTTTGGAAACAATGAAATAATGAAGAAAAAAACAAAAACGCGATTACAAAATGTAGATTGTTACTACATATATGAACAAAGTTTTCTTATTCACGTATTTTTTATGTTTTGCTAAAAGATTTTATTAAAACACATTGCCGCCATTTTGTACAACTGTCAAACGCACAGCGCCATCAAACGGTTCATTTGGAAAAACGCGGTTTCAACCAACAACGAGGCAAAAATGACATGAGCACTGCTGCGACAAACTTATAAAATAATTTACAAAAATAATCATGCAAAATTGTTATTTTTACGTACCTTCATACAAGCCAATGTATCCGCTTTTCTTGTCGGTATCAACGTGTTATCTAAGTCGAAGAACAATGCTGATATCGCATTTTGTTTCTGAGCACGCGAAGCTGCCATCTTTATGTGTCAGGGCACTATTGTCAAATGATAATGGACTCAGCCGCAATGGTTATGGAAGCTAGCAACTTTTCCGGCAACGGAATCGACCAAGATCAATACTTAATTCTAACCAAACAATAAAATTATCTAGTTTCTTGCGAGAATGCGCGAACTTTCTGCGCAAACTATTATCTGTATTTGTATTTTATTAGATTTTCTATATTTATAGAAATTGATAATTTTAAGAACTATTGAAATGCGACATCGCAGAATTATTTCACTTACAACGGTGAACAACGCATGCGACAGACCCGGGACAATTGTCTATATATAACGGTGAGGTTTGTTTTTTCTGTGCAATTTCAACCATCTAATAAATTTATTTATTGAAATTTATTATAATTTTGTCAAAAAACCATCTCTTATCGAAGGTTTGATTTCGAATTGTCTCTTAATTATTCATAAAAGCTTTAAATTACAAACAAACTAAAGATTAAGGATGGCATGCCATTTGAATAAATGTTCGCATCAAGTAAATTATTACTCACGTTAAAAACTTAGCAAGTTAAATTTTTTAAAATTGATCACACACTATTATTTTCAATAAATTAAAATAATAAACTATGATTTATTTAAAAGTTATAGCGAGTAATGTTTATTCTGAGTACTCAAAATTGGTCTTACAAATTCCGATATACATAAATATATTATTGCACTAATAAGTTATAATTATTTATTTTAATATTAAAAAAATGAAAAAAAAATACGTTTACATATATATTTAAATATTTTTTAACGTGTAAGATAAATTGAAATGTATACATATGCAAATTTTATTCGATTACATTTCACTTACATAAATATAAAACGCAGAAGTTAAAACTAATTAATATTGTGACGTATTTTCTAATCAATAACAAAATATTGTCGATGCTTGATATGTAAAATAATAAATATTAGCAATCGAACTCTATAACAATAGGATAAACAAAAAATAATATTTGCGTCGTTATGGACGGTTAAAAAACTATCATAAATAATATAATTTTGTTAGTATAAATAAAAGAATAATATCAATACTTATATAATATACGAAAAGTGATTACATTTTTAGGTTATGACCAACTAGGGAAAGTGAAGAATGCAGAGTGCAAGTCTATAAAAATTATATAATGTATTAGAAAAGATAGAAACATATAGAAACAATTCAAAAATTTAAATTTTACATAGCAATTAGAGTCAGTCTTGACGATGAAAAAATAATATAGTTATGATATTTATATTTTTGTAAACGATCAGATTTTTTAATAAGTTTTGTTCATTTTTAAGAAATATATTATTAAATTATTATACTTCTACACTTGCATCAAATATTTGAAGTGAGAATTAAAAATAAGTTATCACCAGTTAAGACCATGGTTTCCAACCTGTGGGGACCAACCCCTCATGGGGGGTTAATTTAACAAAATGATAAATAGATATAAGAAATGAATGAATAAATAATAATTGTTTGTGTATATTTTTACATAATATTGTGCATTTATATATAGCCTGATAAATATATTTATAAATTTATTATTATAATAATTTATAAATTATAATATCAACTGAGTATTTATAAAATCACGTTGCTAGAAAATTTAAGAGTGTCGCAACTATAGATAAATAAGTATAAATCTTTAGCATAAATAAGATCGCAACATCTTTCTTTAAATAAGGGGGAGGGGGTATGAAAGGTTGGAAACGACTGGCTTGTGATATTGAACTTAAAGGGACTAACAACTGCTTTCAATACTTTTTATTAGTATTGATAATATTTGGTTTATTAGCACTTTTAATTAACTTTCCGTAGGGTAAGTTATAGCAATGGGCCGAAAATCGAAAATGAAAATTTTTGCATTTCTTCGCGTTTCAGAGGTTTCTTTGGCATACCTCAGAAAAATGGATGTGTTCACGTTTTCGGGCGTACTGATCAACCGATTTGGATGATTAAAAAAACATTCGATTCTTATTGATAAGGAGATATGTTGATTAGTTTTTCGCAAAGGCAGGTTTAGCCGTTATGGAGATACGGAGCAAAAAGTGAAATCGAGTTTATGAGAGAACGGAATCATCTAAAAACATTCAATTTGTAATGATTTGGAGAAGTGGTGATTAGTTTTTGGAAAAGGCAGGTCTAGCCATTTCGAAAATACAAGAGCTAAATGTACAAAAAGTGGCAGTTTTTGAGAAACTAAGCATCCGATTTCAACAATTCAAAAAACTTTCTGCTTGTGTTGATGAAATAATTACTTTTGAAAAAAAATCAATTTTTTTTTTGAATATTGAAATTAATTGAGATTTCAATTTTAATTCTGTTTAAAGTTCTAAAGCTCACTTATATATTTTAAGTGAACAATTTTAATTTTGTAATTTAGTTTATATTATTCTTATAAATATTAGACAACGTTAGAGTATAATCTATTCGAAAGCATTTAATATTCCTCGACCATTTTGTTACGGTACGGAAAGTTCCAGCAATTTGCCTTAAAGCACGATGCTATACACCACTAGTTATTATTTAAATAGTTCAAATAAATATCATAGAAGAAACATTGGCAACGAATATCGAAGTACTATATAAGTGGAGCAAACTTTTCCATTACTTTTATAATTTATTAACACGTAACAAATTGCGTCATATAAAATATTTACTAACGTATGCTACTTGGATATTATGATTTAGTTATCGAAAAATCGCCAATTCAAATTTGTAAAGCATACAAAAGTCAATTCAATAAGTCATATAATTTTATTAACAAATATACAATTCATAATACATGCGTTTAACAAGGTTATATAAAAACATTGGAATATATCATTTTTATAAAACTACAATCATGAAATGTAAATGAATCACGTATATAAAAATGTTAAAATGCTTATGGTTCGAAATATTGTTCATAAAATAATAATTAAAATATTTTGCAAATATTTTGGATATGTATTATATATTTTTATGTATGCAATAATAGTTCTTGTTTTTTTTTAATAATCAGTCGTTGTGCGCACATAAACCTTACCTGAAGGCATAGAAACAGTGTCAACACCTTTGGGAAACAGTTTGGCTGCTTCCTCATTCTGAACGGATGGCAGGATCATTACTTTTTCACCAGGCTGGAAAATTGATAAATTTGATTATTACATTTATAATACAATATTTTATATGTGTATTTACAATATTTGATTTGATATTAATTCATAAGCTGTTGTGACGCACTTTTTTAACTACGTGGTTTTGTTAGAAGGCTACCCAACTCTAAACCTCTCTATTGATGTATTTTATTATTAGAAATTCTGTAATAGGTAAGATTTTTAATTTGATAAATGGTGGGCAATGAAAGGACTCCGGACTGCTTGGTATCAGGCTGTCCGAGGTTGGTATTGAACCTCAAACCTCTCATTTAAAAGGACAAAGCTCTAACCACTAAGCACGGAGAACCCCATTCATAATACACTATTTATTATAATTTTATTAAATTAATAACTTTGCAATATATACATATAAATATAAACCACTTGTATGACAAATAAAGAGATATAGAGATATTTTATATACGATTATATGTAACAAGTAGATTTTTTTTTTTGAATAAACGACTAAGAAACTAAATTAGAGAAGATTTCCGCCATTGCTCTATATATTTATGGCCACGGATATTTCCTCTTTGGTGAATTTTTAAATTCAAGTTGGAAATTCAGTTCAGAGTTGTAATTCAGATTTTTGCATAAGAAAGAATATCAAAGTTTAATTTATATTATTTTTTTCACGAATAAGATGAATAATGAAGCTACTACATATCAATTATCATATTTGCTCTATTGCGTTTATATAAAAACCTGTTTAAGTATTAAATTTATAGATTTTTTAACAAGATACAAATTTTACTTTTGTTGAAAATTATTTTAAATTAAATGATAAATGTTCTTATCACAACTGAAACAAGATATTCGATATTGATTATAATATCTATATATTACTATCTAGAATCAAGACGAAACAAATTATTGAAATTAAATTGAAAAAAAAAGATAACTCTTATCTGCAAACTGTGATTTTAAATCCGGTTATAAATGATATATTATAAACTTAATCAGTTAAATTGTTAAATACTAATGTCTCATAAAATAAAGGATTCAATTTTGTGCATATTCATCAATGTAACCTAAATTAGCTTTAGCTGCATAATTAAGTTCAACAGCTTTTGTATGAAAAAGAACTTTAAATTCTGTAGGTTGTATGTCTTCAGTAAGTTCTTATATGGACAAATGTTTATTGTATATCACCTTTTAACATGGAAATAGTAAAAATGATGTTCAAGTAAGACAATAGCCAATGGTTTGGAAAATTTGAATCCAAAAACGTGATGTGGAGGAAGATGCACAGTGTTAAAAAAGGCAAATTTATATAAAGCAACTGTTTGCTAATGAAACAAATAAGAATTCACGCAATTTTTCGCCTCAAATTGGTGGATTTTTTTAGATAAAAAATATTATGTATTATTATTATTTGTATATTAATTTTATTTAAAGTTATTGAAATAAAATACTTACAACCCAGTTGGCAGGCGTTGCGACGACTTTCAGACGATCAGTCAATTGCATAGAGTCGATCACACGTAATACTTCGCTGAAATATCAAAAAGAAGTAAATTATTGATACGTTTATTTATAAATAATAAAATTATATATACTAAATCATGGAATTTTATATATCACCAATTTCACGGAAATAATGAACAAAGTATTAACAATATGAACTATTCTGCTCTGAACATAGATTCTGCCGCAAGTAAGTCATATTTTGTTAACAATACTTCGGGATTATAAAAAACCGAACCTATATGGTTATTGATGTTATCATGGTTAACAAGTATAGCGTGCTTTTAATTTTTTTGTCTTTTCTCTAAATTTTGAAACGCCTGTGAATGTATGGAAAGACACAATCCAAGCAGTTGAGTTTGTAACTAAATCTTTTTCAAGTAAAATTTCTTTAGGCGCGACTAGGTATAAATCCGTAAAAATTGGCAGAGTCGAGTGCCAATGATTCGTCATTCGCTCTCGATGATATCATTTCTATATAGGTCGATTGTGATTAGTCGTCGCGTATGTGAATATAGACCTGTCGTTATCACCGATATCTACAAGAAAATCAGCATAGATAAATAAACATTTTGAAGTTACATGGTAGTACAAATCTTGATTTAATGAAAAATGTCTGAATCAGAAGAATATTTTACCCTGTTCCTTGAAAATAATAAAGCAAATTAATAATAAAAAAATTAAATAAACAATTAAGCGTAAGTTTATTGATTAGAAATTATTTCTTTATTATTCGTAGTTTCTATAAATCTTTGAAGTTATTAAAATGGAAAATACTTTTTAGGCAAGACAGATATTACAGCTGTTCAAAGAATGAGATTATATCGCCAGCGAAAAAGTAAAAAAAATACAAGCAGTCATGTGTATGTTAATTTTAATTACATGAAGTTCTTCAAACAACAATGAAGTTGCAAAAACAATATTTGTTTAGGCCTCGTTTAACATAATCCACTGTGTGAACAAATATTATAGAATTTATTAATTAGCAATTACTTCATTTCTTCAATAAAGATTAATTTCTAAATGCTAATTACAATGACAAACCGATCATGTCATATTTGAAGTATGACTTTAATTATAATTATATTATATATTATATATAATTATATAATATATAATTATATTATATTATATAATATATAATTATATTATTTAAAAACAATAATGTATACATTATTGTTTTTACATAATATACATATTTTTAATGCTATTATAAATATATAGTTATTAATTTGTCATTATATAAATGTGTATAATGGTTGACACTAATAAATGTGTGCATCACGAGTGTTACCATATTACTAATAAGCATTATTCAAAATTGTTATATGATGTATTTATTTTCACTTAAATGCCATCTTGTACAATCCAATAAGTTTTACTTCAATGGCATGTGAACCTTACGCGCACTCTTTTTTTTAATTACATCAGTGAATAATAACATGAATATAAATAAACTAGAGTACAAAATAAAGGATAGTATTTTCATTAATAATAATTCACGGAAATAATAAACAGAATGACAAAAAGATATTTTAAAATAAATTGAGGTTCTCAAATTCACAGTGTTGCTGGTATGAACTATTCTGCTCTGAACATAGATTCTCCCACAAATAAATCATATTTTGTTAACAATACTTCGGGATTATAAAAACCGATTGGTTATTGATGTAAACGTGGTTAACAAGCATACCTTTAAATTGTTTGTTTCTTCTCTAAATTTTGAAATGTCTGTCAATGTATGAAGAAACACAATCCAAACAGTTGATTTTATAACTAAAGGGTATGAAAAATATTGAAATCTTAAGTTTTTCATACATTGAAATATATTAGTCAGAAGCTTATACGGCGAATGAAAATAATCAATAATAATAATTATTGTTTTATTCGGCGCGTTGGATTTTTTATTATGACTAATGAATATACTTATATACAAGATATAAATAAATTTTGGTTTTTAATAAATATTTCCATACTTATATACATATAATTTGTCGAGACGCGCGAAAACGACGAGCCTTATGCTTGCTCGTCGCTCTTGCAAAGCGTATTTATATGGGTGTTCTTGTACCGGCAGCGCGCGTACTAGCTTAAGTTTTTCCAACTTTTCACCCACTTACATTTAAATGAATTTTTGAATAACAGAAGAAAAATGTACAGGCTTTCGAATGATATAAAAGTAGTCAAAAGAAAAGATAAATCATTTTTACCTTTCCACGCACTAACAAATAATTTTTTCACATTATTTGTTATGAACAACATAGACAAGATCAGTATAAATAGAATGACGTTAACAGTTTTTCGATATCTCTCATATTTCCGACAAAAAGTGAGTTTGAAAAAAGGGGCCACTTTCACATGTTTTCACTGATATCTCGGCCAAATGCTGAGCTACGGATTTGAAATGTTGTATTTCGAATTTTCTCGAAAATACCTATAAAATGGCATCAAAATTATTTAAATACCAGGGTGGGGCCAATTCTGTATGGAAACACGCCCAGACCCTTTCATAATACCCTTTCGTAGTATTAGTTTTTTGATGAAAAGACAAATCGCATAATTAATAATTGTCCTATTACCAAATTCTACCAAATATATGTTGTTAGTGCATGTGATATGTATATGTATCAAATTAAAATTTTATTAATACGTACTCGACATTACGTCCAGTGCTGAATGGGTAAACCATGGCCAATCTCAATTTGTGGTTCGGATCGATCACGTACAAAGATCTGACGGTCATGGCGTGAGCAGGGTCGTCCTTGTGCTCTTCGTCGATCATGTCCAAGGCAACAGCCAACTCGCGTTTCGGATCGGAAATGATTGGGTACGGGAATTTTCCGGGAATGTCCTGGCAGTAAGACTTGATGTCCTGGAAAAAGTTCATTCTAATTAGTAAAGAGTAGGTGACATGATTTTCTTAGATTTGTAGGAACGGAATCGATATTATGATATTATAAATTTTTAAGTTTATAAATGTGAAATCCCTAAAAAGCACCCAACAGATATTACTGCATAAGAATTGCAATCCTATCCTATCGGGCTTGTCAAATGAATACATTAGAAAATTGATTTATCAATTTATCTATTTACTGCAGGATCTCAATATGATATTGAATTAAAGAAGCCATAGACCTTATATTACATGGACTGCTAGTCGAGCGCAAAATGAGTACTCGCTCAAACGTAGATGGGTATGTGACGTCACATGTCTAAGCAAACATAGCCGACGACGATCGCGGACTCTTCCGATTTTATTTCAATAATATAATGTAAATTGTGATGGCTGATATGTTTGTAAATTTTTTTTTTTAACTCGTTTTATTTAGCAATCAGAAATACATAAAGATTCCTATGAGCTAAAATGACAATGTTTAAGAGCGATATCTAAGAAGAGCTCCAATGAGATCTTCTCAGTTTAACAATTACTATAATAATATTATATTAGACCTAATCTAAGACTAAGTCTGAAGGCCATTACCGTTTCAATCTCCTTGTACCATAAGGTTTAGTAATTTCAACTATAGATGGGTTCGAATGTTAGTCCAGTTTGCGTTTGTATTTTTCCTTGAATTCTTGGAACGTTAAATGCTAATGTTTGTAAGAAATGATAATAATATTTATCCTAATAGTTAATTTAAATCAAATATTTTCTGCGATAGTTTTATTTGAATAATATAATGACAATTGGGCTGATAATTTTGTAAGAAATGATATAATATTTCCCCTGTAATATAAATGTACATAAAATCGTCCTGTTAAAATCGGTTTATATGTGTATTGTGAGGCCTATGTTAGGCACGTAAAAGGTGACATATGACATTTGATCAATCGAGAAAGTCCACGATTGTCGTCGGCAATGTTCGCTCAGCAAGTGACGTCACAGTCCTTTCTATGTTTGTTTATTATATACAACGGAAAACATATGAGGACTAGCAGTCCATGTAGGGTAAAGATTAAAACACATTATGTAATAAATAAATATTAATTAATTTTTTAACATTAATTGAATTCAGTGGCGTACCTAGGGGGGGCGGTGGGGGCGGTCCGCCCCGGGCGGCACTTATTTTGGGGCGGCATTTTTTAGTTTATTTATACATAGTTGTAAAAAGCAACTTATTCATTTTATATTTATTACTTTCGTAGGGTAAGTTATAGTAATGGACCGACAATCGAAAATGAAATTTTTTGCATTTCTTCACGTTTTGAAGGTTTCTGAACATTTTGGCATACCTCAGAAAAAATGGAAGTGTGTGTGTTTTGTGTGTCCGCATTTTTTCGTTCACGTTTTCGGGCGCCCCGATCATCCGATTTGATGATACAGAAAATAGAAATCGAGTTTTTGAGAGATTGAAACATCCGATTTGATTGATGCAAAAAACTTCAATTTGTAATGATGAGGAGAAGTGGTGATTAGTTTTTCGCAAAGGCAGAGATACCAAGCAAAATGTGCAAAAATATCTGTTTTTGAGAGAACTAAGCATCCGATTTGAATGTATTAAAGTATTCTACCTAAAATTCAAATGCTCACTTATATACTTGAAATAAATAATTTTAACTTTGTAATTCAGTTTATATATTTCTTATAAATATTAGACAATGCCCTTTATTTCAAATTTGATTGATTGAGTTTTGTTTATTTACTTTTCTATAAACATATATATAAGTTACAGTATTTATAATTATATATTTGAAAACATTTAATTTTTCTCGAATATATCATTACAGTACTGGAAGTTCCAGCAATTTGCCTTAACTTACAATGCCATACACCACTAGTTAACTTCCCCAAAGAGAAGTTTATGTTTTCATCAAAAAATCCGAATCGCTAATTTTATGTTTTCTCGACGTTTCAAGCCATTCTGAATCGAATGAGCCCAAATTTGTTAAAAGTATGTGTGTGAACATATTTTTTGTCGTAAATTGTCGTTTTTTTAAAAACGGCTAGACCGATTTCAAAAATTTAAAAGTCACTCGATATATCTCGATGAGGACTATTATTTGTCAGTTTTGTGCGACGATCGGCCAAGCTGTTTCTTTATAAATCGCAGAAAAGTGAAAATTTTTTCGTCTACGTTTTAGCCTGCAATTCTGAATTGATTTTGAAATTTTAAAAACCGTTCGAAAGATATTAGTTGGGAATCGTGCTGATTAGTTTTTGGTAGAGATCGGCCGGGCCGTTTTCTTAATAAAGTCTTTAAAAAAAAAAAATCGACGATTTTTATGATTATTTTTTTGAAGGTAGATACCATAGTCTTCTAGATCACACTAAAATATTACAGTCCTACGACAACTGGTTTAGCTTTAAAAATTCGTCAAAGTTTGCAAAAATTAGTTTCGTCTTTTTGGCATTTGTCAAAATTAGACTTTTGATCGACGTTTTCTCAAAAAAGCCTGAACCGATTTCAGAAATTTAAAAACCATTGATGTATCTCGATGAGGCATATCGTTTCTCAGTTTTGTGCGACGATCGTCCGAGCCGTTTCTTTGTAATTTGGAAAGAAGTGTTAAATCTTTCGTCCACATTTAAGCTCATACTACCGAACCGATTTTAAAAAATTAAAAACTGTTCGAAAGATATTAGTTGGGATTGATACTGATCAGTTTTAGGTAAAATTCTACCAAGCCGTTTTTTTGTAATTAACTAAATTACAAGAAATTGAAAAAAAAATTAAGGCGATTTTTATGAAACTTTCTTTGGCTAAGTATATCATTGCCTTATAGAACTTACTGAATTATTACGGCCTTACGACAAGTAGTTTAATTTTAAAAATTTATCAAAGTTAGAGAAAATGTTTTTCTGACGTTTGTTAAAAATAAAATTAGATGATTTAGTTGGTATAACGATAGTGTACTTGGTCTTGAACATAGTAAGCCATTAAAGTCCTACGGAAACTGGTTCAATTATACTTATTGATTAATTAAAATTATTGATTTTTGAAAATTTGCTTTTAGAAAATACTCCGAGTTAACGTGTTTGTTCGTTCGTTTGCAATGATGTGTAATAAATCCACTCGGAATACTTTTAATCACTCATAAATTAATTTATTTTTTATTGATTAAGTCGGTTATTTACACATTTCGGGAAGTTCATGTAACTTGCCTCAAGGCAAAATACCAGTACCAACTAGTTTTCTTTCTTGAATTATAAATGATCATTATGATTTTTATTATTGTCAATATTTGATTTATATGAATTATGATGAACCATATGATTTAAAATTTTATTCCTTTGTGTATATAAATGTATATTTGTGTAAATTTTGAATTCTAATTTAAGAACAGGTTAATAATTTTATTTTATTGTATTCATTAAAATTCGTTGAATTCGTATAAGCATCTTTACGATTTTTTTCAGCGATTTTTCCTATTTTTTTATATCAGCTTATAAATGTCATTTCTTTTGAAAAGTTTATATGATTACTTTGAAGTGATTTATCAATATTTTTTTAAATCATCAATTTTTTTTTGGAAATCAGTCTGCTAGGTCTGCAAAGCCTTAGGGCATTATATAATTATGTTGACGAGTGCATATAAATATGTCTGAAAAAAATTACTCTGTGTATTAATTAATATTGATTAAGTAACTTAATAATTTTTTAACTTCCGTAGGGTAAGTTATATATAGTAATCGCAAAAATGTCAAAACTGAAATTTTTTATATATCTTTACGTTTCAGAGAGGTTACTGAATTTTGGCATATCTTAGAAAATATGGATGTGTGTGTGATACAAACTTTTGTCGATGATTGTAGGAACATGCATTAACCTATTTGAACAAAACATGCGATTCGTACTGCTAAAACGTGCTAATTAATTTTTGGTAAAAGGCAGGTCCAGCCGTTTCAAAGATACTGGACAAAAAAGCCAAAAATTATAATTTAGTTCTTGAGAGAACGAAGCGTACGTTTTAAGTAATTCAAAAAACATTTTATTTGTATTGACTAAACAAAGAACTGTTTTTGGGATGTCAGGTCTAGAGGTCTAGCGATTACGGAGAATCAATAAGAAAAAGTAAAAAAATGACATATTTGGCGGTCCAAAATGATCATTAGATATATCCACGTCAAATTATCTGATATTTTCTAGAGATTTTGATAATAAGAACAAATTTAATTTACATTTCTATGGGTTCCGTATCAATGTCTAGCCGTTTCGCTTCGATATTTCGTCTCCAAAACAGCTGCGCAGCGCGATTGATTTGAAAAAAAGTTACAAATTTTAAAAAAATTTCAAAATATAAAAAAAAAATTCAAAAAAGCCATTTTTTTTCCAAATTTTCGAAATTCTCAAAAATATATTTTTTTCAGATTTTAAAAAATTTTTAATCTTTTTTAAAAATTTTATGTTTCGGTACGAGAAGTGCCAGCAATTTTCCTTAAGGCACGATGCCATTCACCACTAGTTTATTTGTGTTAATTTATGAAAACTACTATTTGACTGACTTATAATTGAAAGGGCGGCAATCTGGAGACCGCCCCGGGCGGCAAAAGTTCTAGGTACGCCACTGATTGAATTGAATCAAGATTTGCGGCTCATTTTATACAACCAAGGTATAAAAAAACAAAACCGTAAAATAAAAACGTGCAAAGTCTAAAGTGCGGTAAAAGAAAAACGAATAGTTTTATTGTAATATATTTATTTATTATTAACATGAATTAGAATTTAACGAGTCCAATGAGCTATTGTGATGATTTTTTAATAACGTTGCTTTAAATATGGCAACCCGACGGCCGTCTTATCTCTATTTGAAGAAATACAATTATTACTTTAAAATTCAATGCTCGATGTGGAGCCCCTGAATGGAACCCCATAGCCCTAAACATTATGACACGCTCTATAAATTTAAATTTTGAATATGAAATATGGAATGGCCCTTGACAATTATCACTATTATCTTGGCCCTTGACACTTCAAAAAATCTAAAAACTAGAATAGCAAATAAGAATTCGCAACACTCTTACGCACATTTTATTATATTTATTATAAACATGTCCTTTAATATTATTTTTACCCATATCAATTAAATTCATAAAGATAAGCTCTTGAATGTTTTCAATTAAAATAATTGCAGTTATTTAAAGATGGTCATCGTGACGCTACACAATTATATTGAATTAAAATAGATAGTCGTTGATATTTTATATTTATTTTTAGAGATATTGAATGTGTGCATCCGCAACTGGCACTGTTTTTTTTTTATTTGCATAATTATCAGAGTAATTCATAAGCGTCATAAGATGTGTTCAAACTATATTTGAATAAGTGATAAGGCCCCAAAAAATCAACTAAAAATTATTATCTTACTTGCTGACCCGGCAAACGTTGTTTTGCCGTAAAAAATATGTCTAGTATGAAAATAATTAATTGATTGCAAATTGGTATGTAAGTGAAAGGGGCAGCTAACAAAAAACATATGAATAGTTTATCCACATCCAAATGTTTCTGGATAATATTAATAGTCTTTGCAAGAACCAACCTAATCTGAAACTGATTCTATTTATATCAATTAGCACATTCACAGTTTCAAGTTTTGATATATAATTACCGCGCTTTTGATTAATTCATTAATTTTTTATTTGCAAAGTAAAACCCGTAATTCATTTCTGAATTATGTTGTTATGTGGCATGCCCAGCGAATTGACTAATATTTATGCTTTAAATTCTTATTTATAGTATATTTTTTATGATCTATATATGTTTACACATACCTATAGTATGCAATTAATATAACTTTGATTCATTGATATTTTCTTTCGTACCTACTATATTTCTTAGCAGTAATAATATGATATATTTTAAATATTGTTTCATTTCCTTAATGAGTTTATTTTGATTACAAAAATGAAGTGTTTTTTAGTTGAACTTCGCAACTGTTTGCGGTGAATCCGCAAATTATCCGTTTCATTGAAGTGCTCTTTGATAAACCACATTTTTTGTTTTTTGGTCTGACATTAACACAAACAAAGCGGATGGTTTTCCAACTCGTGAACAGGCAACGTATAACTGCCCATGTGAAAAACAATGATTTTCTAAATAATTTATGTGAAATTTATCCCGCAAACACTAAGCGATTGGCCTTGCGGCTTGTTAATTGTCATTGCGAACGCAAGGCGAACTGGAAATTGCAATCGTTTGAAGTCAAACGGAAGGCCAGTCGGAATCATTGGTATTCGAGGAATACCACTAGAGATGACGCTGCATGTGAAAAACGATTTTTCCGCTTTTCTGGATTTTTTTCTTCATTTTTTTTTTGTTATGAACTTCACGGAGCCCAACGAATGCAAAATTGTCGAAATCGGTTCGTGCGTTCTGGAGTTCATATCATCAGGAAGGAAAACTCGACTTATTTTTATATAAAAGATAGTACGTTTTGGAACGAAATAGATAAATACTGTTTATTATAGAAGATATGGAATAAAATGTATGTAGTTACTATTTTAATTACGGATTTACACTACATTATTCATAGCATGAAATTTAAAATAGTTATTAAATAAGATTTAATATCATTTGCGAAAATCAAAAAAAGCTCGATAAAAGAGACTATTTTCAAATATTTGCAATGAGCTAAATAGTGAGTCGAGAAGATAAATAATCGTATACCGAATTTATTCAGAAAGTTCTTTAAAATATCATTTGAATAGTCTAAATAGCAGAGAGGGCAGAGAGGCAGTGTGAATGTGCTCTTTATGATATCTAAATTTATACAAGCGTTTCTTTGCATACGCTTCCATAAAAATGAAACATGAATCAAATTATTAAGTTGAAACAATTCTCATTCATTAATAAATTTATCGTTCGTGAATGACTTACATTGACCCAGTCCTTGTGGCTCTGCAAGTCGTCGACGCTCAGGGCGAGCAATTTGGTGTTGCGCTTGACGAAGTGCGGCTGGTGGACGGCCATGCGACCCAACTCCGTGGTGCAGACGGGTGTGAAGTCAGCTGGATGGGAGAAAATCACAACCCAACTAGAAAAATGACAAAATGTTATGCAAGATGTTGAAATTTATATACAATTCATCAGAAACATTGTGCTTGTTATACGAAAAATTTTAGATATACTTAATTAGTGTCAAGTTGTAACTCTTTGGCAGTATTTTTCACAAGTCAGATTTGGCATTATTTTTCACAGATCAGCAGCACAGGCAACAAAGCAGATTAGTCAGAAGGTATGCATGTTGCGATTATTATTAGTCAAACTGGTGATGGGGTCGTAAATTCCATTCATTCTCACATAGTATTGGTAAATAAAAATCCTTCCTTTAAATATACTAAGTTGCTTGTTGCGAAATCCATGGGCAAGAGTTTATTTTACATATTTTTACATTAAACATAAATATGGCGTATATATAGAGGGATGGTGGGAGAAAACACTATTACCAACCTCACTAATAATAATGGCGGGACATTTGAATTACAATATATATATATATATGTATGTATGTATATATAACATTACCTTTGACATCATAACATGTCATTACATAAAAAATGTGGCAAACAATTTTGTCCAGTATACAACAGCATATTTTAAGATTTTCTAATCATTTACTGTTAATAATTATCTATGAAAATATATCAAAAATTAAAAATGGCACTTTTAAGAAACTAAGAATTACAATAACAAATTAGAATTCTTAGCACTATCGTAACATTTTAACCTAAAATTTATTTTATCTTTTCATACAAAATGTCAAAATGCTATAAATTTGCTGTGCAATCAGGCCTTTTACACATAAAATGCAATTTCTCTCAATATGTTATTATACCCCATCACAAAGATGCAGTTATGTTGTAGTGGATATGCAACATTCGTAATAATTATAAATAATATTACAATTAACTAATGGTCAATATATGAACAACGTAGTTCTTAGTGAATCATACCTACAACATTGTATGCTCAAAAATATCCTTGAAAAGCCTCAAATGTGAGCGATAACACTCATGCGACTCTTAAGACTTTATAACAAGCTTTTTTCGAGATTTGTGCGTAAGTTAGGTTTTCTATCTAAAAATATTTAGTACCATTTTGCATGAAAAGCCCTACGTAACATTGGTCTATTTGACGGCAGAATCGGCCCCTTGTTATATATAATTAACCTAAAAACTAGTGGGACGCATGACATCGTACCTTAAGGCAAATTGCTGAAACTTCCCGCACCAAAAATTATTATTTTTTTAAAAACGATTAACATTTTTGAAAAAAAATTACTTCGTAAAAAATTAGATTTTTGAGTAACTATAAATTTGACAAAAAATCACTTTTTTTGAAAACGCACTTGCATACACACACGCACATACACACACACATACATCCATTTTTTCTAAGGTATGCCAAAATATTCAGAAACCTCTTAAACGTAAAGATATATAAAACATTTCATTTTCGTTTTTTTGCGATTACTATAACTTGCCCTACGGGAAGTTAACAAGAATGATTAACCACTGGGTTGCCGCCGTTAAGATAGACGCCAGAACATAACGGATTAGACGCTGTATGGGTGTTATGTAGTTATGAAATTTATTAAAACTCTCCTTCGATTAACTCAGGTTATTGGGTTGACTATGGACTGTGTTAAATACTGATTTATTTGCTATTTGTTGCAGTTCTTATAACAATCACTGATTTGTAACTAAGGTATAATGAAAGAAGATATATTTCTTTCTTATTTATTAAACATACAACTACTTTTAGAAGTAGGCAATTAGTTCCATTAAAAATTCCGCTACCCTCTCTACCAGGGGTGGCAACCATTCCGTGCAAAAGCTCAATGCAATGAAGGTTGTCACCTTCATGGCCAATATAATAAAACGAAAATACGTCCGAACAGCTATATAGAACAAAAGTAAAAAATAATATTTAGAAATGCAACCATATTGTTGTATAAAACGCTTATTCAAAGTCCACATGCCAGAACTTGAAAAACAATTGTCAACGCACATCATCCATTTAATCATCACCAATTAAGATTATGACTATATAGCATGGGCTGGTTGGGGGCTCGAACTAATCTCCTATGTATAAATAGAACAAACTTTATCAAAGTAGATATTATTTGTTATTTACGCCGATTTGCTTCCTACAGTAGATTATATTATTCATGTTATCTAAAATCTGATTGTTGTACACAATGACCCAAAAAATTTCATCAGAAAATAGTCTTCTGGACAACACGAGGCATAGCGTAAGCATTTGAATTAAAATTATCATCGTTATCATAGACATTACTAGTAAATAATATTTTATCGAATAAAAATGGTTATGCTTAAACATATTATAAATTACACTACAAGGTCTGATTTTGGTATCTATAGAAATATCATGTTGTCATTCTAATTTGTGTTATCAGAAAGTAATTAAGATTCAATTACGATATAAAAGTAGTAACTTTTGTAATTATGTACTTTATTTTACTTGAACAGCACTCAGAACTTAAGAGTTCTATAAGATATTGTGATGAATTTCACCTCTCTTAAGCTAGCAAGACCAAACTAGCAAAATCGATCCGGACCTGTTGTATTATTTAGTACTTATTTTGCACTAATTTGCACCACAAAAAAAAAATTTGTACTACGTGCCGTTTAAAAAAAACACGTGGCGCTGCAAACTTTAATATTAAGCTAGCAAGACCACTTTTTGTTTTTGAAGAAAATAAATAAAATTTAACGGAAATTGATTAATTCGAATTTGCACTAATATGCACCACCAAAATTAAATAAAAAAAATCGAAAATAGCTACTAAAATCAATACCCCATGACGCCCGGTCCGCCCTAATATGATACTTCCATATCAGAGCGTTTTCAACCTACAATTTCAAAGTAGAGAAAAAAAAATTGAATCAGCAGAATCAAATGAAACTAATACAATAAAAACATTATAATATCTAGTATTTAAATAGAGAATTTCAGATTTTGCACCACTGCCCTTCCCTCATTAATCAACCCCAAATTGTATTTACTTCCATATTAGAACGTTTTCAACGTACGAGTTCAAAGTATAGAAAAAAAAATTGAACGAGCAGAATCAAATGAAACTAATACAATAAAAACATTATAATATCTAGTATTTAAATAGAAAATTTCAGATTTTGCACCACTGCCCTTCCCTCATTAATCAACCCCAAATTGTATTTACTTCCATATTGGAGCGTTTTCAACCTACAACTTCAAATTTACGGGATTAAAAAATTTGGGGTTGATTAATGAGGGAAGGGCAGTGGTGCAAAATCTGAAATTCTCTATTTAAATACTAGATATTGTAATGTTTTTATTGTATTAGTTTCATTTGATTCTGCTGATTCAATTTTTTTTTCTCTACTTTGAAATTGTAGGTTGAAAACGCTCTAATATGGAAGTATCATATTAGGGCGGACCGGGCGTCATGGGGTATTGATTTTAGTAGCTATTTTAGATTTTTTTTTATTTAATTTTGGTGGTGCAAATTAGTGCAAATTCGAATTAATCAATTTCCGTTAAATTTTATTTATTTTCTTCAAAAACAAAAAGTGGTCTTGCTAGCTTAATATTAAAGCTAGCAGCGCCACGTGTTTTTTTTAAACGGCACGTAGTACAAATTTTTTTTTTGTGGTGCAAATTAGTGCAAAATAAGTACTAAATAATACAACAGGTCCGGATCGATTTTGCTAGTTTGGTCTTGCTAGCTTAAGAGAGGTATGAATTTCTTACCATATATGTGGGTTTTTTATAGATAATTACTCAAATTGTAGTCGCATCTCTTTGTGATGAATTATTATAGTTTTGTAATAATCATTTTTTATTGATACAGCAATGCCCTATCAGGGCTGTTTTCACTTGGAAACATATTACTATGTAAATTTCCAATGAATATCCGATGACACTGCTACTTGATATCAGGCTGCTCGAGGTGGGTGTCGAACACGGGACTTCTATTTAAATATCGTCGGTTTACTAACTGCTCAGACAAGAGCAATTTTTTATGTTCAATTCCAAAAACCTTATGTGATCAGTAAAATCGGAATAAATCCAAAAAATTTAATATTTAGAATAAAAATATTATTCAATGTTTTATAAAATCATGCATAAGAAACACGATGCTAGTAATTTTTAACTTCCTGTAGGGTAAGTTAATCGCAAAACAATCGAAAATTAAAATTTTTATATATCTTTACGTTTCAAAAGTTTTTGAACATTTTGGTATAGAAAAAATAGATGTATGTGTTTGTGTATGTGCGTATGTGTGTGTGCGGATACAAATTTTCGGCGACGATTTTGGGAACACCGATCAACCGATTTGAATAATTCAAAAAACATTCGATTTGTATTGATAAGGAGATGTGCTGATTAGTTTTTGGCGAAGGCAGGTCTAGCCGTTCCGAAGATACGGAGCAAAAAGTGCCAAATACGGTAACTCAGTTTTTAAGAGAACGGAACATCCGATTTTAATAATTCATAAAACATTTTACTTCTATTGAAAAGATGAAGACTGATAAAATTTTTGGGAAGGCTGGTCCAGCGGTTATGGACTCTCAATAAAAATAAGTGAAAAAATGTCATTTGACGGTCAAAAATGTTTATTGGACTGAATGTACATCAAATTATTAGATGTTTTATAGAGATTTTAATAATGTGTACACATTTTGTGTAATTTTTTTTTGTGTTCCGTACTACGATTTTAAATTACGGTACGGGAAGTTCCAGCAATCTGCCTTAAGGCACGATGCCATGCAACCCACTAGTTTTGAATAGTTAATCAAAAAGAAATGCTAAATTTTAAATATATTTTTTACATAAAATTCTATGAAAATATATTAATTTATCATATTTAATTTAAATACGATTAATATCTTCCAGTATGTGAAGAATACTTATGAAATAGGATGAAAATCACATATTGTTATTTAAAATTTAAATATAAAAATTAACCAATTCAAATACTACAGCTAAAATTTGAGCATTTGTTATTATAATTGTTCAAATTCATGAACATATCGGTTATTGAATATCTATACTCATTTATTATTCATTGTGATATGTGAAATATGCTATGAGCCAACTAGAAGCAATAATATACAAATGGCTATTGTATTAAACTTTCAGAAATATTATTGTTTGAGATTCCAATTTGAATAATCAAAGGTGAAATAAAATACCACACACATATATATTAATAAAGATTATTATTATTACTGTAGGCATAATTGAAATTTTGATCTGTAGTTCAAAACTAGATCATATTAAAGAGTGAAATATATTTTCAATATAAAAATGTTAATTTATGCATCCTTATTTTTTAATTTCCCGTGGGATAAGTTATTGTAATCGTCCAAAAATCGAAATTGAAAATTTTTACAGTTCTTCACGTTTCGAAAGTTACTGAACATTTTAACATACCCCAGAAAAAATTGGTGCGTGTGTATATATGTATGGATACAATTTTTCGTCCACGTTTTCGGGAGCACGGATTAATCGATTGGACTGGTTTAAAAAACATAAACGATTCATATTGATGGAGAGATGTGCTGATTAGGTTTTGGTAAAGGCAGGTCCAGTAGTTACGGAGATAAAGAGCAAAGAGTGCAGAAAATAGAAATCGAGATTTTGAGAGAACGGAGTATCCGATTTGACTCATCCGAAAAACATTCATTTGCAATGATGGGGAGAAGGGGTGATTTTGGCAAACGCAGGACCGGCAGTTTTGGAGATACAAAGCTAAATGTGTAAAAAATGGCAGTTTTTGAGAGAAATAAGCATCCGATGTGAATGATTCAAAAAACTTTCTGTTTGTGTTAATGAAACTATTGCTTTTGGAAAAAAAAATAATTTTTTTCAATATTCAAAAAGAAATTTTTTTTAATATCGAAAATAATTTGGATTTTAATTCTAATTCTAGCTATAGTTCTAAAGCTCACCTATATACTTCAAATAAAACATTTTAACTTTGCAATTCAGTTTATACAATTCTTATAAATATTATACAATGTTCTTCATTTTAAATTCGATTGATTGGGTTTTTTGTTATTCAAATCGGTTGATCCGTGCTCCCGAAATCGTCGACTAAAATTTGTATCCAAATACACACACATACACACATGCATCAATTTTTTCTAAGGTATGCCAAAATGTTCAGAAACTTTTAAAACGTGAAAACATATAAACATTTTCATTTTAGATTTTTTTGTGATTATTATAATTTATCCTACGGGAAATAAATATTAACAAATATTATACATATACAGATAATGATATTCAAATAAGATAATTGCAATAATAGTATAAGTCGCTGCATTTTGTTTTATGGGTGATGAAAACTTTATACAAGTAATAAATAATATGCTAATATTACCATGCATTAAGTGATTACTATTTTTTGAAAAAATATTGCTAAATTTGGGAATTGCCATAAGGTTTTTGTCATCTCCGATACTTTGTTTATAACTAGGTGGAACAAACACCGTGTGAACTTCCGGATATTTGTAAATAATCGACATAATGAAACGAAATGCGATTTAGCAACTTTTAAAATTGTCATAGAACCAATTTCGACACGACTCATTATTTGAAACTTCTTTGGACTTTTATAATTCAACCACTTATCGTCAGCCCATAATATTTAATGTTTGTAATCGAAGGAAAGATGTTAAACAATTAATTACTTTAACACTTAATTAATTAATTACCGTTCATGTTCAGGAATCTTTCAGAAAATATATACAACTAGTGGTGTATGGCATCGAGCCTTAAGACAAATTGCTGGAACTTCCCATACCGTAACGAAATGTTCGAGGAATACTGAATGTTCTCAAATAGATTATTATTAATATTGTAACATTGTCTAATATTTATAAGAATTATATAAACTGAATTGCAAAGTTGGAATTATTTGTTTAAAGTATAATTAGAACAGAATTAAAATTAAAATCTGATTAATTTTCGATATACGAAAAAAATTTTATTCGAAAAAAAAATTGAAGAAAAAGTTGAAACATTTTTTTTTCAAAATCAATTATTTTGTTAAGACAAGCAAAAAGTTCTTTGAATCATTTAAATCGGACGCTTAGTTCTCTCAAAAACTGCCATTTTTTACACATTTAGCTCCGTATCTTCGAAATGGCTGGGCCTGCCTTTGCCAAAAACTAATAAACACTTCTCCCAATCAATACTAATTGAATGTTTTTTAGATCATTTAAATCGGATGCTCCGTTCTCTCAAAAACTCGATTTCTATTTTCTGCACTCTTTGTTCTTTATCTCCGTAACTGCTTGACCTGCCGTTGCCAAAAACTAATCAGCACATCTCTCTATCGAAAGGAATCGAATGTTTTTTGAACCATTCAAATCGGTTGATCCGTGCGCCCGAAAACGTGGACCAAAAATTGTATCCATCCATACATACACACACACACACAACCATTTTTTCTGAGGTATGCCAAAAGGTTCAGAAATCCTCAAAATGTAGAGAAATGCAAAAATTTTTAATTTCGATTTGCGGCCCATTACTATACGTATTTCCCTACGGGAAGTTAAAAATGTTTGCGGTTTCCTGCAAATTTAAAAAAAAACGGCTTGACTCCGTGCATCTCACAAAACTAATGGGCGTCCTTATCGAGTTCCATCGAATGAATTTTAAATATTTGAATCCGGGGCAGCCATTTTTGAAAAAAACATCGTCAAAAAGTCAATTTTTTATCACATAATAAACACAAATACACATACTTTCTCAAATTTTGGTCTCAAACAATTCAATGTGACATGAGAAAACATAAAATTAGCAAATCGCGTTTTCTAACGTAAACATAAACTTATCCTCCGATAAATTAAAATATTTCAGGCATAAAAAAAATTTAATTATTCTCACCTATCGCCAGACCAGTCGTAAAACTGGATGGGTCCTTCGGTGGTGTCAGCCTTGAAATTGGGTACTGTGGCTCCTAATCTCATTTTGAAAAATGTAATTTTACAACAATAATATAAAATAAATAAATCACTTAAAAATGTTTGAACCGCACAGTACGAGGTTTCGAAATGATATGAGACGAGTCGGGTACCAAATTAAATATTACAGAAGTGACATAACAAGTTCACCGAACCACTACCATGAAAACTGACACATATGTATTATCAATACCAATTGAAAGGATGCCGGTCCACGCGGACATAAACTCGTTCACACTAATCAGTGCACAATGATGACACTTTCGAAATTATTTCATTTTATTCAAAACACTTGAAACTGTGATTAACATTTGTTCTGATATTTAATCAGGTATTTTAATGCATGAATCCCAGAGATTAGGTAATTAAATATTTAGAATTAATGGAAAACTTTGAAAGATTATTCCGAATTACACAAAATTAAAGGACGCCATATCGTAAAAAGTATGCAACTTAACAAAATCAAATGCAGTTAATATATTTCCTATGTAATCATTTGACCTTTTTTCTTATTTTATAAACACAAATCCGTAAACGTAAATTATTGCAATTTCCACTTTACGTTATTGGAAAATAATTATAAACCATGGTTATTAATAATCATAAACCACTATTTAGTGGTGCATGGCATCGTGACTTATTATTAGACAAATTCCTGGAACTTTCCGTACCGAAATATAATTATTAAAAAAAAATTGCAAATTTTGAAAAAATTAGATTTTTGAGAAATTTTGAAATTTTTTAAAAAAATTGACGTTTGTGAAAAAACAAGACTTTTTTATATTTTGATTTATTAACTTCCCGTAGGATAAGTTATTGTAATGGGCCGAAAATCCAAATTGAAAATTTTTACATTTCTCGACGTTTTTAAAGGTTTCTGAACATTTTGGCATACCTCAGAAAAGATGGATGTATGTGTGTGTGTATGTATGTATGGATACAATTTTTTGTCCACATTCCCATTCGATTCCTATTGTTAGGGAGATGTGCTGATTAGTTTTTGGCATAGGCAGATCCAGCCGTTTCGGAGATACGGAGCAAAGAGTGCAGAAAATAGAAATTGAGATTTTGAGAGATCGGAGCATCAGATTTGAATGATTCAAAAAACGTTCAATTCGTAATCGTTAGGAGAAGGGGTGATTAGTTTTAGGTGATTAGCAGGTCTAGCGGTTTCGGAGATACGATTTAAATGTGCACCAAATGGCAGTTTTTGAGAGAACTGCCATGTCCGAACTGCCTTTAAGTGTCCGATTTGAAAGATTCAAAGAACTTTCTGCTTGTTTTAACAAAATAATTGCTTTTGGAAAAAAATGTTTTTTTCAATTTTTTTCCAAAAAATATTTTTTTTGTATATAGATAATAATTCTGATTTTAATTGTAATTTTGAATTAATTGCTAATATCTTTAAACAAATATTTTCAACTTTGCAATTCAGTTTATATAATTCTTATTAGACAATAATCTTTTTGAAAACATTTAATATTCCTCGAACATTTCGTTACGGTACGGGAAGTTCCAGCAATTTGCATTAAGGCACGATGCCTTTAATATAAAAAATATCAGTTTTTATTTATTTTATTAAGATTAGTCTTCCAAATATATTAGAAATGATATTGTGTTTATAAAAAATATAATAAAATGCATATAAAAAAAGAAAATATTAAATGTTCATGAAGGAAATATGAAAGAATCGCTTTTTGATTCATTTCCCTGTTACGTACGTTATTTAAGTATTCAGTATTCGGCCAAATAAGAAAGAGTAACCGAATAGTTGTTGCAAGTCAAGGCATAAAAATTGAATATACATGTAGTAATATAACAACTGCGAACAGTAATTACAATAATACGAACAAGTTTAGGCGCTGAAAACCTGCCGAATATTCGGTATTCGGTCTCTGGAGCATGCCGAATATTCAGTATTCGGCATTTTGCCGAATATACTATTCGTTGCAAGCCTAGTCGCAATGTAGCATAAGATTCTGCTTTTAATCCAAAACTACAACTAGTGGTGCATATGGCATCGCGCCTTAAAACAAATTGCTGGAACTTTCCGCTCAAAAAATTTTTTTTTTTAAATAACTTTAATTTTTTTTCAAAACTTTCAAAAAATTAGATTTTTAAGAATTTTGAAAAAAAAAACTTTTTATTTATTAATAAAAAAATTAAATTTGATTTGTCGATCCCGTACTTCCTTCTTGGGCTGGAACGCGTTCCGGATATTGGAAAATATTGTTGATTTTTTAAAATATTTGTCACTTTTTAAATGCATATTATAAATAAGACTTTGAATCAAACCCGAACCGAAACCGGAGTGCAAAACGTTTTCTTGCTGAACCGGAATTCGAACTGAACCGAAAAAAATACGAGAACTAGGTTCTGAACCGTTCTAGTAAAAAAAAAATATTAGCGCCGCATCCCTGCTATAACAGATACCAAATCGAAAACAGGAAAATATATTAAATTAACTAAAATTAACATAGGCTTTAAATGAATGAATGCTATGTTAGAAATCTTCAGCTGCTTTCTTGTTATTAAATAATTTTGTTATTTCGTTTTAAAAAAGCGAACATTTGTTCATTACTAGAAATAAATTGTAAGTTTATCTAAATATGTTAAAATAATATTTAGTAAAAAATAAAACAACAATAAAAATTATCTTTTCATTTTTTCTCAACATGGAAATTTGTACAATGATATACATAATAATTTATTACAAAAACAATGAATTCACATATTATTTCTTATAAATTTGTTTAAAATAAATGAGTTAGGAAAATATTTAAACATATATTTAAAATTTTATTCCATATATACATGTTAGTCTTATTCTTAAAATATTAAAGTATCAAATGCAAAACAGTAAAATAAATAAAAATAGTCAACAGACAGTCTTATCACTAAAACTTAATTATAAAATATTAGTGGGACTCTTATATCTCTGCTTTAGCTGCTTTTAATACTGAAAATAAGAAGAATAAATTTAATCTTTGTTAAACAATTGAAAAGGCTATCAATTGATATCTTGAAATAAAAAATAAATTGAGATAAAAGGGTGTAAAATTTATGTGTAAAATCTTTTATTCAATAAATATTTTTTAATAATAAATCGTTCACAAATAGAAATAAGATCTTGTAAGAATATAATTGTAATATTTATTAACTAAATCACAGTTCCTAAATCACAATATGAAAAAATTGTATCAACGTCTTCTAAATTTTTTACCTTCTCTTTCTCTTCTTCTTAACTTCTTTCTTCTCCTATCTATGCAAGCAAGTTCTGATTTGACATTGTTATAAGTTTTGCGAAGTTCGGTCAACTTCTGCAGCAGAACTCCAATCCTTTGATTGCTATCCAAACTTGAATCTATAAAAATATGTACATTTTTTTAAAAAAAAAATTAAAGTTCGTGAGCAAGGTAAAAGGGGGCAAGAAAATGTGTTTGTAACTCCATTGTGGCCTTATAGCGGAACATGAGTTATTATAATAATATATTTAAAAACGTAGAAGCTTAAGATCTGATAACGATTTCTCAAAATTGGTTATGTATATATAAAAATAACGTAATTGTGAAACATTTTTTTCTCTCTGTTTAAAATTGGTCTACATGTAACTTATATAAGTGATTATGGAGTGGAGATGCATACCACGGATATTCATAGATTTTAGTATTGACACTGTTTTATTGTTATTATAATTAGGCTTACCTAAATGCACACAGAAATTATATTTGACATGACGCGGTGCAAACTGATCTCCGCTATTATTGTCACTGTCTGAAGTCGTACGAACGCCCCTCTTCGACCTTTTGCTAGGCGGAGGCTGCAATATGCCACCACTAGTATTGCTAGATGATGATGGGGGCTCACATTCACTTGCTTTTCTTGAACGCCTCCGTTTCTTAGGAGATACATTCTCAATGTCCGCCGCGGCCACTTCATGTTTCTTATTAGTAGAATTTGAAGTCGAACTCAATACTAGAGAAAAAAACATATTTATCAATAAAAAAATCTACTTATTTCATTTAATTTTCTTCCTCTATCAAGGTAATAGTTAAGTTCTCTGCTATAATTTTTGGTAGTATTTGCAACATACCAAAAATTTATAAATTTAATTTACGCACCAGGTCGTGATTCTTCTTCTGGTAAACTAATTTCGCAACGTGCTGAATTCATACTTGGTGTATCAACCGGTGACATATCAGGTGCTCCCATTTCAGATTCAGTACTGGAAATTGTTCTAACTGGTTTTCGCATGATTGGCGGGGAGCCTAATCGATCGCTGAAAAAGTATTCAAATTTAATAAGTGGACAAAAATATATAAAACAATATGTAAAAAAAGTTTACTCACTCCCTGGAGACACATCAGAGAGTGTACCACTTTCGGAAGTGCTGGGAGGAGATCTTTCATTTCCTGATGTTACACTGGCTTTATGATCCAACAGATGTTGACCAGGGTGAACAAATCCTGCTTCCTTTCCTGATGCGTTATTATTTGATGAAGATATAGGTGTTACTCCAATTCCTGATATTACCTTAAATGGCATATTCGTATTCGCTGTGCCAGCAACAGAAGTGGATATTGTGCTGTTGTTTGTATTCATAGTCGTACCCGCTGAAAAAATAATACTTTAGTTTATGTGCATAATGATATTGATGATTAGATGATTTTTTATGAATAGGATATATATTTTATGATGATTGATGAATCATATGTCAGACAGTCAGCGCATGAAAGGACACATTCCGCAAAATCATCTTAGATCAGAAATAAAGCAGTTGGTATTGGTATTTTGCCTTGAGGCAAGTTACATGAACTTCCCGATATGTGTAAATAATCGACTTAATCAATAAAAAATGAATTAATTTATGAGTGATTAAAGGTATTCCGAGTGGATTTATTACACATCATTGCAAACGAACGAACAAACACGTTAACTCGGAGTATTTTCTAGAAGCAAATTTTCAAAAATCAATTTTTATAATCGAACCAGCTTCCGAGGTTCTTTAATGGTTTAGTATGTTCATTAAAACCAAGTACTCTATCGTTATACCAAGTAAATTGTCTAATTTTAATTTTAACAAACATCAAAAAAAACTACTAATTTTCTCAAACTTTTATGAATTTTTAAAATAAAACTACTTGTCGTACTCGTAAAGCCTTATTATTTTAGTACGTTCTATAAGACTATGATATATATCGCTAAAAAAAAGTTCCATAAAAATCGGCTTAAATTTATTTTTCAACAGATAATTACAAGAAAACGGCTCGGTAGATTTTCAGCTAAAACTAATCAGTATCATACCCAACTAATATTTTTCGAATAGTTTTTGATTTTTTAAATCGATTCGGTAGTATATTCTTAAATGTGGAAATTTAAATGTCCAAATTTCAAAAAAACGGCTCGGCAGATCGTCGTACAAAACTGACAAACGATAATCCTCATCAAGATACATCAAATGGCTTTTAAATTTCTGAAAACGGTTCGGGCGTTTTTGAGCAAACGTCGATGAAAGGTCTAATTTTGACAAATGCCAAAAAAACGATACTAATTTTTGCAAACTTTGACGAATTTTTAAAATTAAACGACTTGTCGTAGGGCCGTAATATTTTAGTATGATCTATAAGACTATGGTATCTACCGTAAAAACAAAATCATAAAAATCGTCGAAAAAAAAATGTTTAACACTTCATTACAAGAAAACGGCCCGCCCGTTTACCAAACTCTTTACTAAGAACTAATCAGGTCGATTCCCAACCATTTTGAAAGATATTGATAAGAAATCGTGCTGTTTAGTTTTTGGTAAAAATCTGCCTGAGCGTTACTTCGTAATTATTTTTGGAAAAAAAATTGACGATTTCGATTAAACTTTCTTTAAAATTCGTAATCTGATATATTAAGCCGGCACAGACGTAACTGTATACTGCGCAATGCGACTTGACATGTATCTGTAGCGTCTGTGGCGTGTTTTTTGCGCAACTTGAAAACTGGTGCAAGCGAGTAGGCATGAGCACTTTTCAGATTTTAATTGCCAACCATTCAAGTGCAAGTTCATTCGTCGGCCGCGTGTGGCAGCACATGTCCCGTTTTATTTTATTTTGCAGCGAATCATAATACAAGTTTATGAAGTTATCGACAATTAAAAGTTATTAAATTAGCTCTGAACACTTTGATCTCTTCTGATGCTGTAAATAATAATTAATAAAAAGATATATTTTTCTTTGACATTTATTATTGAATTTGTGATATGCTGCGCAAGTACTTGAAATAAACTTGAACGTCTGTGGGCGCTGTGAAATACGCCTGGTTGCGCATTCAAGTTGCGCAAATATACAGTTAGTCTGTGGCGGCTTTACAATGCCGTTGAATTTTATAGTTTATCAAAGTTTGAAATAGCGCCGCGCGCGTAGGCTTTAATCAGAATCTATACCGAACTTCTATATACGTTTCGTGTTTCGTAGGTAGTACTGATTACAGTTGACGTCCACATATAAATAAAATTCATTGTTAGAATACGAAATGAATGAATTTAAATGTGTTGAATGAACTAATTCAATTTATAGAATTACAGATATTATAAATATGTTTAAGAGTTTAAAACATCAATTGGTAACTGTATTAATTATTTTTAGTGATAGCGCAAATTTTATTTTCAAAATAACAGTTAAACATTTTACCTAAATAACTGAATTTCAATTCTTATTGATGAAGTTGATTATTGAAAAGTTTAGATTACTTTTATTGTTTATTGATTAATTTAGATGACAGTACTTACATGATTTTCCTCCTATAGAAACAGCACTTGCAAAGGGCAATTCCATTTGCAAATTCTTGGCTGATTTCGGTTTTGGTTTCGGACTTTCGGCGCCTGATTGAGATTCGACTTCTGATGATGATAAAACAGGAGCAGGAGAACCAGGGATGGTTTCCTCGCACAACAATAAACTAATATTACTTTCTGGCTCTTCTGTTTTTTCTTTGGTAACTGTATCTTCCATTTTAATTTCAGTTTTGATTTTATCAGTTGTTGAACCTGAATAAACTAATTATAAATTGACATTTAAATTTACAACTAAAATTATATAAAATAATTGAAAAGAGAATAAAACTAAAATGCACAATAATCTAAGTATTTAAATACTCAACTATCATAATTCACCCTTAACTTATTATTGTCTTAATAAATGAGCTTAGTAATTTAACAAAATTTACCTGGTGTATCTACAGTAGAAGATGAATAATCAGACGATGTTTTCACATCAGATTTGCTATCAGAAGTAGTGGTTGAAGTTTGTGAAGTAGGCGTAGTCTCACTTTCAGAAGTTATTGTAGTTGTAGTTTTACTTGTAGGAGTTTCATAAGGTGTTCCATCACTCTGCTGCGATGTTTCTTCATCATCAGATAACTTATCAATTACCAACCTAGATCCATAAATTAATAGTATTAAGACCAAATGATTTTTTAATTAAAAAATTAATAATATGATACAAAAATATGGTGAGATATATATATGAGATATGACACATTTATATATTGTGTTATATGATAATAGTTTTGTCGATGTTGATACATATTTGAAGTATTTTGCAGTCCAATCGTCAAAAACTATGCTAGCAGAACATTCGATTAACTTGAACCACACTTTTAAAATGTCAAATCCTACCATCTTATATATTGAAAAGAATTGTGCCCTTAAAAAGATATTTGCGTCGTTACTTATATCCCTGAATTCTTCTTGTGTTAACAAACAGAATTCCGAAGAGTTACATAGTCATTAGAAATTTCATGAAAAGTAATTCTTTACAGTATTAGAATCATTTGTTCGTTATATCCCTTCTCTATTTCTTATTCCTCTTTTGTTTCTTATACCCCGCATTCACTCACTCTACCACACGTGCCGCGTAACCTTGGATTTAGTTGTGTTACAATGCACAGTGATCGAACATCACACAATATAGGAAAGCAATATGGGCTCCTTTAATTTCTCTTTTATTAATTATATTAGTTATGATATTCTTTTGCACAAGTTTAGTGTTTAATTTTATATAACTTTTTTTGTTTTTCCTGGTTTGGTATGTATATAAATTCTCCTTTTTATTTTGTTATATTTAATATCAACTATTGTTATTTATGTAAGATGTTTTTTTTTGATTACTGAATGATGACACACATTAAGTTTCAAACCGTTTAATAGAACAAAAAAAAAATTATTTTAATCTTCTTTTATTCGATTCGATGATTGCAAAATACTTCAAATATTAGTTATATATAAATGTGTCTTCTATATCATTATATTTGTATTTCAAAAATCATCGAAAATAAAATTAAAATAAAATTAAAATAATATTTGAAAACTTGAAGTCAATATATTTGATAAAATAAATTTGATCTTATAATTAGAACCATGCAAATGTAATGCCAAGTAATTTGCATCAAAAAAAAAAATATAAAAATAGTCAAATCAATATTTCAAATACATAATAAGAAAAAATGAATACCTTTGTTCAGAATCAGTGCTGTCATCTGAATCTTCTGCATAAGTGGAACTCAAAGGAGGTACAACTGAATGTTGCATTACGACTGAATGCTGCATTGAATTTTCTAATTTCTGAATCAACTGAGAAACACTAACATTGCTTTTAGCAATTGGTCCCGGCGGAATTTTTAAATCTTCCTCCTTCACAGGTAATACAAGAGTAGGTTCTATAACTGCCTTAGGTATTATCTTTTCTTCTTCAACTTTTGATTCCATTTTTATTGGTATTTTAGCAATTTCTTTTTTAGTTATTTCAAACTGATATAGAAAAGATACATATAAATACAATATTCGATAAGACATAATTTTTAATAGTATTTTTTCTGTATTCATGTTATCTAATACTGAATCAAAAGTATCAAGCTAGTTATAACAGTGGTTAGGAAATCGGAGTAAATTACCAAAATGAGGAGAAAACAGTACTTTGGGGGTTAAAAGTATATATTTTTATTTGATAATTACTGTATTTGCTACTTAGTAGTCCGTGCACTAAGTCAACTTCAGTAAAATTTAAATTAAAATTTAATTTAATTTATATTAAATTTTTTGTTAATGTTTGCTTTTTAAAAACATTATGGGAACTATAATTAAAAGATGCTAAAAAGAAGCAATTGCATTTTTTTTCTCTTCGCTAGGGGAAAATATTTACTTAAACAAAACTATTTTGACTATTAAAAAAAAGTTTCCTGACCACTGATTTATAATGATTCTTCATCATTTGATAATTTATTATTACCAAACTAGGTTCATAAATTGATAGTATTGGGGAATTGATTCCCCTGTTCATATCAATAATTTGATTAAAAATATTTAAAATAACAAATATTATTAGTATCTTGAATACATATTTCTAAAGCAAAATGGCTAAATATAATATCTATTAGGAATTACATTGAACATTGTTTGAACCTTTTACTATAATGTTGATACCATCAAGTGTTTATAGACAAGTATGTAATTGTAAGAGTTTTTAATAATATCAAAGCAGATTATTCCTTCTTACCGATACTATACTCTTTAGAGCCTTAATATCCTTCTTAACATCATCATCATCATTAGGTGTGGCACTTATTCTGTTTTCCAAATTTTCTGTTTCACTTTTGACTGGACTTATTCCTTCAGTCATCGCTTTTAGTACTTTATTAGCCATGGAGTGAACATTTTTCAATTCAGACATTTGTTTAGTACGGTCAAATATAGATTCTGATGCTGATTTTTCTTTTAAGCTATTGTCTACAATAATAGCCAATGAATCAGTATCAATATCCATATCAATACTTGGTGATAAAACACTGGCTGGAATTGTAAGAAATAATTTTGTTTATCTAGTACTGTAACTATATACATTATAATAATAATTATTATTAGAAAAGATGTGTGCATAAATATGGGCAGTTAGCAAAATATAAAAGTATCAATTTAATTATATAGTAATGTTTCATAACTCATTCTTTTCTTGTGCAATTTCACTCATTAATAGTGCAAACTTAGAGAACATTGTCGATGAACCTCTTTGGGGGCAACTTTTTACAATAATTAACTTCCCAATTGTTAAATGTTATTACAAATAATTCAATGACTGATGTAAAATATAGCAATTAGAGGATGGTTTTAATAGTGAACATGGAATGCTGAATCCAAAAGGAATACTACTATGTAAAGCTGGAAAACAAATCTCAATTGGACCCGTAGTTCTAAATGACTAGTATAATAAGAAGTTTAAGCTAGCTATGATTTCTCATCCGACCCTTTCCCTTATCACCTACACCTGTTAACTGTTATATAGTTCTTTATGAAGTAGCCAATTTTGCAACACTCGATTGCCAATTCATATCATCCATCAACCTCAATAAAAATTAAGAACCCAATATAGGGAAACAAATTGAGGATGATGCATAAATAGTTCAGAAAATAAAATAGTTCTATTATAATTTAAATGGTAACCTAACATTTCATATAGAGGTTAACTACTCTTACCTTCAATTGGTAAAGGTTTCTGAGGATCAGTACTAATGAGTTTTTTGTCAAAACTACTTTGAAAAATGGAATTGGTTTCTGGTTTAATGATTGTGTTATCAGAGCTTTGGCTGTCATCAGTCAAAGTTTGAGATATAACTCTTTTTATTGTAGCATTAATATTATCATCATCAGATGAACTGTCAGTTTTCATTTTAGAAGAATCATCAAGCTTCAAAAATGATTCTTGTGGCAATGCTAAAAAATGCATAAAATAAACTATCAGCATTATTAATGATTAGACATACTATTGTGAAAATTAAATTGGATTATGCAAGTGCACCAAAAAACAAAGCAGTGATCTGTAATTATGAAATATAAAAATTTGTTTTTAAATCAATGGTATTGTTTTTGAACATCCCCTTATAAATTATTTCAGAGACAACTGTGTAGACTGCATTTTAATAATCTAAGAAAAATATGAGATGACAAATTATTAATTTTTTGTTATGAATATTAAAATGTTATAGTTACAAATCACTCATTTAACACATTTCCATGACATAATTGCAATCAATATTGTGATTATCATGCTGATATGACATGATTATTATAGCATTTTTATGAAAAAAAAATACACCTATAATCATTATTTCAATAATTATACTCACTTGATGAAAATGGTGAAGTGATTTTTTTCTTATCATCAAGTATAATAGGATCACTTTGCCTCAAAACAAATATTCTGTCACCATCATTCATACTAGAACCATTTCCTGATATTATTCTATCAACGCATTCATCTGCTGAACCTAGATCAGCAAAAATGCCAAACTGAAATAAAAGAGAAGAATTAATTTCCAATTCACATTTTATAAGTTTATATTAATATTGCATTTCTTTAAGCATATATTAGAAAAGATTTCAGAGAATAATTTATTAACCTGGTCATCCAGTACAGGTGAAGTAGATTCAGGAATTGTATTGCAAAAAGAGGAGGAAGGCACTGTTAGCCTACTGAATGAATCTTCTTTTTGTGGAGTTAATTTTGGAGCTGGTAGTGCTTCATCGTCAGACTGAAAAAAAATTACATAATGAGAATATCAATAACCATGTGCACTATTTTCCTAAATCTATTAAATGTACTTTTATAACTTCTTCCTTAACAGCTTCTGGAGCTGGTGAAGTTACAGTTTTCTTAGACTTCTTGCCCCTTTTAGCAGGTGATGCAATTGATTCTGAGTTATCTCGATTTGCTAATTTCACTGCAATTCTCTTCTTTGGACTTTTATCAATTTTTAATTCAGGCATATCTTCAAATAATCTAAAAAATATTTACAAAAAATGTATTAAACACAATAAAATACCAAATAAGTATAGTATTTATTGCATATTATCAAAAATTTGGAACTGTTCTTTTCTGCAACATATAAGTAGGATGAAAATTGCTCCTTGATCCACTAGAATTTTTTAAATTTTTTTTACTAACACCAAAAGCAAATAGAGTTCAAAAAAATAATAAATTCTTAAAGATATGAATAAAAGATTTATTTATAAAAAAAAGTTCAGTCATTAGCAATAACTATTATTTAAAAAATCATATGGTATCATCTAGCAATGTATATATCTATCCAAACTCTTTTTTTTAAAAAAAATACTACCTACAAAGTAAAGGAAAAGTCAAATATTAGAAGTTGTTCACCTTATTACACCTCGTTTCTTTTTCTCTTCAGATGACGGTTTTCGAGATTCAAACTCAAATGGTTCTGGTTCTTTGAATTCATACACATCTGCATTAGGTGATAATTTTTCAGGAGTTATTTCTGCTTTAATTATATCATCCAACTAAAATAAAATAACAGAAAGACAAATTATATAAATATGAATTTTAAACAATACTCTTGCTAAATATATATCCAAAGAAATATATTTTAATTTTTGAAACAGAAATTTACTTTAATTTGAATATCTTCAGAAGGCGTATCCAAGCTCAAACAAACATCAATAACACCGGTTTTTTCATCTAACACCACAATATCAGGTTTTATATCTTCACTAGTTGGCGGTGCTTTTACAACCTCTTTGAAACCTTTCAATTCTGATCTAATTTGATTCAGATCAAAATCACGTCCGGCTAGAAATTTATAATTATAACATATAAAGTTTTAAAATACAAAAAGTAAAGTTTTTTTGTTTGTCAAAAAAAAATTGCACTACCTTTATTAGCACTGTCTTCATCTGATTCCTTTTTAATAGCCCTTTTAATAATCATTTTCTTTGCAACTTCTTCACATTCATCTGATTTTTTTGTACTTAAAGCTGAACCAGCATGTGTTGAAGTTCCAACATTTGCAGAAGCAGCAGCAGCCAACTTCCGTTTAGTTTTGTCTTCAGCTCCATAAGTTCTTGTGCTTGCAGCTCGTTTAGGCAAAACTTTGAGTTCTGTTTCTGTATCGGATGAGGTACCTTCACTTTCTGACCCAGACTGAATTGATACATCTTAAAATAATAATAATATTAATTATTATGAACAGTTAAAATACTTTAATAGTTAATAAAATTGTAAAATGATGTGATTATTTACAATACTATATAAATCACACATACAAAAAATCGAAAATTTTGGAACGTCCAACGCTATATGTACTATATATATACTTCAATTGAACTAATAAAATTTCTTGAAAAAGTAACTAACCAGTATGTGTACTCGCCCTTCGGCGACCTCTGGTCCGACTTTTCACGTCCACTGAAGCTAAAATAAAAAAAGTAACAAATCTAGATTTTCATAAGATGTGTTTTTTTATAACAATGAAAAAGTAGTAATAAGAATAGTAACTTATTTTTCAATTATATATATGTAATATATTTTATAATGGTTTCAATGTTAAGTTGTAATTTTCTAACTAGATTTTATTATCTATTATGTTATATTTTTATGTTATAAATTTTTGTTATTAACTTTTTTTTATTTTATGTTTTTTGTAGTATCATATAGAAGAGTTTAAATATTTGCTAGAAACTTCTAAATTATCTAATTGCATTTATTTAATAATTGTGTGAATGCTTGAATTTTTTGATTATATATCGTTTAGCGTAATTATCATGTCTATACATAATAAGACATATGTGTGTGCATACATATTTGTGGATAAATATAATAAACATGACGTGCTTATACCTGTGTTACTACTGGTTGTATTACCCTCTTGTTGTCTCGTTACCCTTCTGGCTGGAGTAAGTGCGGGGCTTCGAGTTCTGGAAGTTACGGTAGGAGAAACGTTTGATTGTGTGCTGGTGGAAGGTACGGTGGTAACAGTAGTGTCTGATGACTTGGATTGCAAAGTAGAAGAACTGGAAATATAACAAAAACAGAATAAAACAATATAAATTACATAAATAAATATTAATCAAGTATATTATTTTGTGGTTCAATTATTACTTCAAATAATTTAAATCATATATACATTTATATAATTATGAAAAAGCAGCAATCGATAGTAATATATATTAATTCAAGCTCTTATGAGATTCATTCATAACAAACAACTAAAGTAAAATTATTTTATAGTAAGGGAGACTTTAATAAATTGTTTTAGACAAGTTCATCAAAAAGAGGTAGAGGAGGCGCTTCTTTTTGTTCAATTTCTTTTATAATAACTTGTACTTGTATACAGATAGATTTGTGTACATATTTAGCTGTAAGTTAAACATTAGTAGTTAATCACCAGCAATTAGTTTATGCGTAGATAATTTAGCTCAGTTGGTTGTGACAAATTTTGTGAGTACTGTTGTGACATGTATTTTATGTCTTTTTCTTTAATTTACTTTTCTCCCAGCTAACTTGTAAATTCACAAAATTATTGCTTATAAAAAAAGTGGCACAACCGTACCCATTCTTCCCTTCTGTAGCAAAACAATTGATTCTGAAACAAAAAGTGAATATAAAGTCACTTACGTGCTAGATGTCGTATGTGTAGGAGTCGTATGTCCTGGAGGTCCTCCAGTAGAACTCGTTGAATCCGTTGATGTAGAAGGCGGCCGTAAAGTTAAATTAGCGCCTCCTCTACCTCTTTTTGATGAACTTGTCTAAAACAATTAAATTATAAGTGTAACAATCAATTTATGTTCATACAGTTGAAAAACTATAAAAAGAAAATACGATTCCAATACATTCAATAAAATAATAGAAAAAAAAGCAGTAAAAGGAATATTTGCCTTAGGCAAATTGCATGAATAATATAAAAAATATTCTAGCTAATTATTCAAGTGTAAATTAATTAAAAAGAATTCAGAAGATGTGAAAAAAATTTTTTAATTTTTAATTTCAACAACTTTAATCAGAACTGATTGACTATTTTTTATAATTACATTACTAGTTGCCAAAAAAACAGCCGATTGAATTTACAAGTTTACTATAGTTCACAAGGAAATATAGTCAAAGTGCAAAATTTTAATTGATATATGTAAAGAGTAGTTCAATTTTCTTTTATTCCTAATCTTCTATATATATAAAAATAAGTCGGGTTTTCCTTCCTGACGAAATAACTCCAGAACGCACGAACCGATTTCGACAATTTTGCATTCGTTGGAAAGGTCCCGGGCTCCGCAAGGTTTATAGCTAAGAAAATTAGTTGTGCATGGCATCGTGCCTTAATGCAAGCTGCTGGAACTTCACGCACCGTAATTAAAAATTCGAGTAATAAAAATAATCAATAACTGTTTTAAATAATTTCAAATAGATTATCTTCTATATATATAAAAATAAGTCGGGTTTTCCTTCCTGACGAAATAACTCCAGAACGCACGAACCGATTTCGACAATTTTGCATTCGTTGGAAAGGTCTCGCAAAGCTCAGCAAGGTTTATAGCTAAGAAAATTAGTGGTGCATGGCATCGTGTCCTAATGCAAATTGCTGGAACTTCATGCACCGTAATTAAAAATTCGAGTAATAAAAATAATCAACAATTGTTTTAAATAATTTCAAATAGATTATCTACATATATATATATATATATATATATATATAAGTTGGGTTTTCCTTCCTGACGTTATAACTCCAGAACGCAAGAACCGATTTCGACAATTTTGCATTCGTTGGAAAAGTCTCGAGCTCCGCACGGTTTATAGCTAAGAAAATAAGTGTGCATGGCATCGTGCCTTAATGCGAGATTGCAATTTCCAGTTCGCCTTGCGTTCGCAATGACAACTAACAAGTCGCAAGGCCAATCGCTTAGTGTTTGCGGGATAAATTTCAAACAGATTATTTAGAAAATCATTATCTATCAGATGGGCAGTTATACGTTGCCTGTTCACGAGTTGGAAAACCATCCGCTTTGTTTGTGTTAACGTCAGACCAAAAAACAAAAAATGTGGTTTACCAAAGACCACTTCCATGAAACGGATAATTTGCGGATTTACTTTTATTCACTTAGAGAAGTTCAACTAAAAAACACTTCATTTTTGTAATCGAAATAAATTCATTCCTGTTGTGTAATAAAAAAAAATTTCCTTTTCAAATATAAAACAAACAAAAAAATTCTTCATCTTTCTCACGAAACCATCTGGTGGCAAAACGGAGTTCGTCGGGTTTGCTAGTTCCTAATAAAAATGTGAAGTAAAGTAATAAAATTGGCAAATTGAAAAGAGTCTCAACTGAAGTTAATTATCAAGTACAATGAGAATCAAATTATTTACCTTTCCTGATATAGCTGCTTTCAATCTCTTAGCTTTAGTTCCAGCACTCAAATTTTCGGCAATACGATCGATGTTGACCCATTCATCATATCGGGTATTCCACCCAGTATAATGGACTAAGTACGAATCACCTTCAGCCTCAATAACCTTAGCTTCATAGGTCACCTTAGATTCATGGTAATATACCTTCAATTTGTCACCAACTGATGGTGGAACAATTTTAGATGTACTAGTGGTTGCTGTGCTCGTTGTAGGTTCACTTGCTTCTGAGCTGTTGAAAAGTTTTATTGTTTCATAGATTTTAAATTGATTGTGAATATTTGACATGTGAACCAAAAATAAATGTAATACAGGCATAATTAAAAAAGATGTTAGTATTTATTTAATGTAATCAAAAACAATTCTTAATAAACATTTTTTCAATAACTTTTAATGTGGCTATTTTATATCGCATTTCAAAATTCAATTTATGTTAAATAAAACTATCATCAACTATATAAAATTGCATTAAGTTATTTCCTCTAACAACTACCTTTCAGTTTTATCAGCAGGATCTGTATCACGTCGTTTTCGTCCACGTCGTTTTTCAGTGTCCTGTTCAATTTTTTTGGTTTTCTCTCGCATTTCATTCTTCTGTGTTTTTCTTTCTGGAGTAGCAGTATCTTTTTTAGTTCGGCCCTCATCTTTAGAACGTGACCTCGTATTTTGAATTTCTGGTTCAATTTTATCTAATTCAGGGAATAAATAATAAAAATATGACCTGTTATAATATAAATTATTTATTAGAATATTTTCTAATTCTGAAAATATGTTATGTACCCAACAAAAATATATCAAAGATGAAAATTATCTGTAATTAAATACAATAATAATATAAAAATTAAATAATCAAGTTAATTTAAGATAAAGTAAAATTCAATAACAAAATTAGTGTCGTACAAGGTCAGATGTAAAGTTATTATAATTTTAGAAAAATAAAATACCTTTTCTCTCCTTGTCATCACTATCTGAAGTCTTATCATCCACGATTTTCTCTGACAACCTAGGTCTTCCGGCAGATTTTCTCTTCACTTTATTTTTTTTATCATCATTTTTACTATCAATAACTTTGCTTTTGATAACCTCTTTATCCTTCGATTTAGATTTTGTATTTGATTTTGAAGAAGAACTTGGTACAGGTTTTGTAACAGGTACTTCTATATCAGAACTACTGTCACAAACAACACTGATACTATCAACTCCCAGTGATTCATCATTGTCAGCTATAATATCAACAATTATGTCAGATTCCTTAACAGTTTTCAATGGTTGTGGAGATGATGCAATTTTCTCAATAAGACTAGAAGACTGAAATAAAGATTATTTAAAAGATCATTTTTATGCAAATCTAAATATATATATACATACTAATATATACATACTGCAATTATACATTCAATTTTGAAAATGAATCTTACCTCAATTACTTCAGCAATTGCTTTCTCTATTTTTAAATTGGTTTTGCCATTTTTGCTTAGTTTATCAATAGAAGAAATTCCAGTATATGATTTTATTTCTGATACACTGGGAGATTCAGCTGAAGTTAAATTAATAGATCCCTTATCTAAAATTTGTAAATATTAAATTTATATAATTAAATCGAAGTAAAGATCAAAATAATAAAGTTTTAAACATATATTATGAAATAAAACGTAAATAACTATTGGAATATAATAAATATATAAATTAATTTTATTACACCTTCTTAATTTCAGTTAATTTTCTATATTTATTTGACATTGAAAATAGAAACTATTTTCTCAGAATCTGTACTATTTACAAATCTGTTTCATACAAGGTTTTCATTTAGTTTCTATGAAATTAATAAACCACTGTTTCATTTCTGTAGAATTATAATAAAACTGAAAGAGTAAATTATAGTAATCGCAGAAAAATCAAAAATGAAAGTTTTTGCATATCTTTACGTTTCAGCCGTTTCTGAACATTTTAGCATACATTAGAAAAAATGGGTGTATGTGTGTGTGTGTGTGCGTGCGGATACAAATTTTCGTCGGCGATTTCGAGAACACCGATCAACCGATTCGTATTGATAAGGAGACCGATAACATTCGATTCGTATTGATAAGGAGACGTACTGATTAGTTTTTGGCGAGGGCAGGCCTAGTCGTTTCGAAGATACGGGGCTAAAAGTGCCAACAACCGTAACTCAGTTTTTAAGAGAATGGAGCGTCCGATTTTAATAATTCAAAAAACATTTTACTTGTATTGACAAGATGAACAACTAATAAAATTTTTGGTAAGGCAGGTCCGGCGGTTATCGACTCTCAATAAAAATAAGTTAAAAAAATATCATTTGACGGTCAAAAATGTTTATTGGACATATGTACATCAAATTATCTGTGTACACATTTTGTGTAATTTTTTTTGGGTTCCGTACCAAGATTTTGTTCCATACCAAGTTCCAGCAATTTGCCTTGAGGCACGATGCCATGCACCCCACTAGTTTTACTATTACTTATATGTATAGTGTCTGAACAAATGTATATAAATAGCTTGTAGACAATTTATATCTTATATATATAAGTAGTTGATTCGAGCAAAAAACTTGCCTTGTGTTGTTGAACCACTAGTGCTCTCTCCAGTTGTGTGGGCAGCACCAGCGCTTGTTGTAGTAGAACTGGTAGTCGTAACGGGGGTGACCGCAGGTGTACTTACTCTAGGAGTGGGTGTGTCACGCTGCCTAATCAGGCTTCGGCCCTTGCCGATGCGTGCGCCTCTGGGAGTGCTGGCGATCAGCGTGCAGCCCAATTTGCGATAGAACTCCTCGAAACTGTGCAAAAATCTGATAGCAAATACATACATAACGATAAGTCAAAGCGATTCATTGTCTGCTAGCACCCTAACGCGTGTCAGAAAGAGTAGCACAATTATAACAACATTAGGTACTAATAACAATAATAATAATAATAAGCAAGACCATGCAGATTATTTATCATTGTAAAATCATTAATAATAACAAATAAAACGTGACAACAAACAAAGCTATTAATTACAGTTCAAAAATGTTCAGCAAAGATAATATGTTTTTAATTTTATGATGGCCATGATTAACTAATTGTAAGTATCATTTTGCCTTAAGAAAAGTAACATGAACTTCCCGATATGTTTAAATAATCGACTTAATGAATAAGACTAAGGCGATTAGAAGTCAATATATTAATTTATGAGTGAAGGATAAGTATACCGAGCTGCTATAGGGCAGCTTATAATGTTAAAAATAATTGCAATTTTCCACACATTTTTTATTACACATTATTTATTAAAAACACACACATTACCTACACGAGTATATAGATGTATGTTCTAAAAGCGCTGCCGATTAATTAACTTTTTAATTAATTTTTATAATGGTTATGTTAGCAAATCGGATTTTTTCACAAAAGCAAACTTTCCGTTTGAGAAGTTAAAATATTATGTTCAAATTTCAAATCAATTTAAAAAATTAAACTTTATAGCACTCAAATAAGGTTTACATTATAAGTTGAATGAAAATAAATTCAGAGTTTCTGATCTGATTAACAAATTTAACACACAGGTGACAGTCACATAACAAAACTAAAATTTCAAAAGTGAACATAAAATCTATGAAAATTTTAGAAGCAAACAATCTACAAGAGACAATTACATATTGCTAACATGCAAACTCACTTCTTATATGCTTGCTTGACGAGATTTGTGATGCTCGTTGTGACAGGAGAGAATCCAAGTCTAGTAGAAATTGCACGCCATTGGTTTTGAGATGTAACGCGACTATAACCCCCTAACTTTTCAACAGCCCTATAAAGTCTATATAAATCCACATCTCGATTTGCGATTGTTGGCCCGCGATTTAAGGGCGTGCCGCGATCATCCATAAATTTATACAATTGAGCGACAAAGTGGTCCTTTTGTTCTATAGGCTCATCATCTGAAGACTATAAATTGAAAAAAAAAAAGATAAATAAATATTCACGAATACTAATTTTTAAAACTTACAATGTTTAGAACTAAACAAGTCTTAATATTGATTTTCACTTACAATTCATCGTTAATAACTTTACGAAACTTGTAGCCAAAATTGAAATATGAACTTTTAAGTAAATTTCAATATAACTGTTACATAATACACATATTGACTTTCTGATATGTTTCGATCTAATAATTTAAAGGAAATTTGTGAGATATTGTCTATTATATTGAAACTAACCTCACTGTCACCTCCATCTTCACTGTCAGAATTTGAACTAGCTGATAATCCAAACAAAGCCTCTCGATCCCAATGAGTGGGCAATTCATCATTATCAAGATATTGCAAAGCTGCCATCACCGCTGGGCCATCTTGACGAGCTGCCAATTCTCGTGTAAATTCTGTGGCTTCTTTTTTGGGAACGGTGTAGCTAAAAGAAAAGGCACAAATAATTATTTATTGAAGTTAAATTAATATAACATAGTACAGTTCAAACTTGAATGTGCACAAAAAAATAATGCTTTATGATGATAAATATCTTTCAAATGTAATTTTATTTATAACCAATTAAACAAAGGGAGTAATTATTTAAATATAATAGTAATATGAGCAAAACTTACTATCGGCCATCCTTAAATGATCGCACCAAATACTCATCTCGCACGCGAATTCTAACAGTGTCTTGCGCTGTTGGGGCAACAACCAAGCCTGGAAACCATGTTTCTTTTGGACTACGTTTTTTAGTGTCTGAAGTTTCAACACACACAACCTAATAAATATTACATAATATAAATAATCATATTAAATAAAATATTAAATCATAGAAATTATTTTTTCATAAATTTTAATCATTTAAATATTATAATACTTATTATTAATTTAATACCTTGCCGATGTGCTCTTCCTTTTCGGTGCTATTTCCATCTTTTGTGCTCAAGCTATCAGCATCGTCATCAGATGAATCATCACTGTAAAAAAAATATATTAGGAACTAATTATTTTATTAATTAAAATCATTAACTAACATTTTTTATATTTAATTTTGTCCAAAAAATACACAAATGTTATATTGAAAGAAATAGAGAGGAATGAACTTTTCTAATAAAGTACTTCAATAGATATTATAATGTTGATTTTTAAGTTCAATTCTGAAATCAAAAAAACTTTTCATTCAGTTTCTTATCAAGGATTGTATAATATATTAAAGCATTAAGAGCAATTAATAAATTCTATACATAAAATAAACTTTATAAGATTTATATCTTCTCAAATAATAAATATTCATATTATTTAATTAGTCGCCATTTTCTACTTACACAAGTTGCCTTGATCTCCTTCCTCGGCGTCCGCCAATAACAGGATTTCCAAAATGCTCAGGATGAGTTAAAGGTAATTGATCTAAGGTTTCACTTTCATTAAAATGTCGACCGCTTTTCAAACACAAAGCAGATCTTCTCAATGTTGTAATATCCCCATCATCAAACACTATTATGAAATTTTCAGGAAATGTAGTTAAACATTTAATTAGATGCATACTTTAATACTATATTACTACTTACACAATTACTATGTTCATTTAAAGTAATCCTGCACGCAAATTATATCTGATCTAAATTTCTTATAACCACAATTAAGATTACTTCTAACGCATTTTGCATCTATTTCTATTCCCATCATTATTAAAAATAATAATTTCAACTAACCAACAGTGTATTGACTGCAGTCTTGAATTTTTGTTATAGTTGCTTCCACATATTCACGCCTGTCTGGGTGCCGAGCTTCAACAATACCTCCAACTCGTAAAATTCCTTTAATTTGTTCATCAGTTACTGTTAATGATCCCAATCCTTGCTTGAAAGTTACCTGAAAAATAGTAAGAAAAGGTAACAAAGCATTATTTGATATTTGCTAGAAATGTAATACTCAATAAAAATATAATTGAAACATATTAACATAATTAAAAAAATTATATATTTTATACTTCTTTTATTATTTTATGCTATTTTAATACTTCACTTTAAACTGTACTACAAAAGAACTCTTAA